TTTCTTTCTTTCTTTCTTTCTTTCTTTCTTTCTTTCTTTCTCCATTTGTTCATTTTTTCCTTCCTTCCTTCCTTCCTTCCTTCCTTTCAGTTGCCCCCACGGGTGGCACTTGTTTTATTTCATTTGTTACTTTGTTTCATTTCAGTGTATCTTCTTTTAAACCCCTTTGATCTCTCTTTCTCTCTTTCTCTCTCTTCCCTTTTTGGCGCAGCTCAGAAATGAAAAACCGGAGCTTAGAGAAAGAGTTCTTTTTTTTCCTTTTCTTTGACTACCTCTCCCATCATTTTTATTTATTTATTTATTTATTTGATTTATACCCGGCCCATCTGGTCTAAAAGACCACTCTAGGCGGCTCCCATCATCTCCTGGCAAAGCCGGTGAGGGGATTCTGGGGCATGCAGTGCTTCTCCCCCACCCACCCCTCTAAAAAAAGAAATGAAAAACGTTTCTCAAAGCTCTCCTCTACACGGAGTAAAACCCCTGAACCCGCTGATAAATAAAGCCAGGTCCCGGGAGTTTCTGCCAGGAGACAGGCAGTCCATCATCCTCATCCGAGAACTTCAGGGCTGGAGGGGACCCTCTGGATCATCCCACCCTAGAGGTGGGGGATTCGAACTCGCAACCTCCGGCTCCCCCACCAGAGCGCTCCAGAACCCCTCAGCAATTCCAGCCCATCTTGGCTGCCAGATTTAAGGTTCTTGGTCCCTCCGCTCTGTTCTTATCATTTTTATTTATTTGGGGAGGGTTAGGGATTTTGTGACACCCACCACCCCACCCAGATTCTGCTGGGCCGCTGCTCCCATCATCCTTCACTGTCTGCTCTGCTGGGCCAGGCTGATGGGAGTTGTAGTCCTGTGCCATCTGGAGGGCCACATGTCCCACGTGTGTGTTGTCCCGTTCCCCCCCCCTAGTCAATACAGTATTTCAGGGACTGGAGGGATGTCCGGATGAGAAAGGGCGGAGCTGTTCTGCGTGTGGGCCCTGATCCTTGCTAAATGATTCAGAGGAATCCCTAAAGGAGGACGGTTCTCCATCATGCTTCACCTCGGGAGTCAATCCCATTCCC